GCCTCAGAAAATGAGAGGAAAAAATAAAGGGAGAGAGGAAATCTGAGATAAACAGGGAAAGGGAAAACAGAGCACCACTCACATCCACCACGCTCCAGGCAAGAGGAAACGAACAGGTAAAGAGGAGACACAGACAATACAGAAAAGATGGACTGCTATTTTTCTAAGCGCCCCCAGGCTTCTGAGAAATCAGAGGAAAAGGAAGACAGGCTGAGGAAAAGAAAAAGCGGTCGGACTTGAGCCAACTATACTAAAAGCGGGAAATATGAGTAAACCGCCTTATCTCGACAGTCATTCTAATCAAAGGCTCCCCTTCGAGTACTGCGACAAATTGGGCTTCACCGTGGACCAGTGCAAATATTCACACAAACAGAAGAGAAACAGCACTTTTTTCATGTTTGTTGCTCTGTGTGATTTGGTTTTAGACACAACAGGAGAATGCAGGTAAAAATCGACAACATATTTTGAATTGGCTCTGTGCTGTGTTTGCTCGCTACACAAACAGGATCAGAACTGCTTAGTATTCCACTGTCTGTATACTGAACCATGTACCACCACCACAGTGGAACAAACACAAGTCCAACACGACACTTGTGTGATGAGAACACAGTGAAGGGAAGTGCAGTGTCTGCCAGGAGGTGACGCCTGGCCGCCTCTGCTCTACAGCTCACTAGCTCCACAGAGACCAGCTGAGGATTTTCCCATTCTGGCCCCAGAGAGCCACGTTTGTGCCACGTTTTTTACTCATGATCAGTGTCAGAAAGAGCACTCAAATGCCCAGTAAAGTAGAGGCACTAAATGAAGTGACAGTGAAGATTAAATACAGATTAAGATTCAGTTTGATATTGAGATCATTCCAGAGGACAGAAAATAAAGTTTGCTTTGCTTCTTAAAATGGATGAATGGTTACAGTAAATATTTTGTTTATATCTTGTGGGGAAAAAGCTGCTGTAAACCTTGAGGTTTGAACTTCCTAAAAGTCAAGAATGAATTTCTGTGCTGATATTTTTGCACCTTTGTTGTTTGAATACAAGAATCAATTTTTCTAAAAATATGATTTTAATAAACCTACTGTGCAGTTAGAGAATACTAACACTTAAAAGTCACAAAATGACAAATTCCTTATAAAATGTTTATGACTATAACAAGTGGTTACAAAATGATTACTATCCACCGAACAGATGTGGGTGACTAATGTGGGTAACGTACAGTGAGTCTGATTTTGTCTCCTCTTACTCTTGAAAAACTTTTAAAAATAGCTACTTAGCAGTGACAATAAAAATCAACATAAAGCAAAGTCAACTTGCTATTGCACTGCTGGACACCATCAGCACTTAACATGTTTGGCAACAAGTCTGCACAGTCAGCATAGCTCCTGCAAGGGTTCATCTATTATAAATGAAGAGGTAAAATCATGATGACTGAACTTATCTGCTCAGCACACACAGAGCCTCACATACAACAGCACTACAACACTATATCACAGCATATGAATTACACAAAACAAGATATGACAACATTTATTGATCCCTGAGGGAAAACAGAGTCAATACAAAAGCAAAGAAGAGGGTAGCCAATAAAATGATGGTTGATGGTTTTGTTATTGTTTACTACAGTATGCACTCACCCCTATACTGTCCTCCTGTCTGTACTGTTGCCAGTTGTGTCCCGTGTCGCTGAACATCAGGAGGTAGGATGTCAGCCAATCAGAGCTGCCGTAGCGGCCCTGCGTGGCGACAGCTGTGAGCTTGGTCCGCTCGCCCAGGTCGACCTCCAGCCACTGATACTGGTCTGAGGTGAGAGGGGACCAACCTCCAGCTCCTGTGGAGAGAGAAGGAGGAAAAACATTAGATATATGTGATTTATTAGATTTCCATCTCTGTGTGAGGGTAGATGCTGAAAAATAAATTGCACAGCTTGACCTTTCACTCTGAACTAAAATCACACTTCTCTGTTATGAAACTGGAATGAAGAAATTGATTGAACTACAGAAAACATCTTTAAACCCATTATGAAGCTATAATGGGATATAAATCATACTTTAGGATTTTAAATCATTCACATTTGCTATGTGACCTTCATTTTATTTCTGAAATGAAAATATGTAATGTTTTTATATTTCACTTGCCAAAGCAACGTATCTAACAGAGCTCCAAAATAAATCGTCATCTCTGTCCCAAAAACTATAAAACTGCTTATAAACATAGTCAAAATGTTGACATGCTACTAAGAAATCTATTTTTAAAAGCCCTAAATCCACATTAAAATCAAAAGCTGATCACTTGTATCTTGGTCCAGGTCAAAACCTTCCAACAAATGTAGTTAAAATGAGGTTTCAGTGCCGAGAACATCCATGTTGATTTACAAATCTGTAAATACCTTCTTTAACTTTACTAAAATATTGTATGATATCTTAAAGTCCAGTTTTGCCTTATGTGACCCTGAAGATAATACATACATAAATGTGCATGCAAGTGACAAATTAAAAGAAACCGAACAGCATCACCTTTGTGAAGGAGGATTTACTGTTATATCAGGCTGCATTAGTTTTAGCTTGGTGTACCTCATAAACTAGCAGCTGTGTACAGGATCAGCATCTGGTTTGAGGTTACCCAGCTGTGATTCAGGCCATTGGCTAAGAGTAGAAACCTCTGCCTGCACTTTAAAATTGATTGGCGATGCAAAAAAAAAGTCCTCAAATAGAGGCGGCGGTGCCAAGCATTGATCAGCCTGACAGAACCTCTTCTCATTTGTATCCTTCCCTGTACTGAAATAAATACCATAAATAAACAGCTGTGTTGGGATCTATTGATTGGTTGTACTTTTGGTCAACAAGTTGAAATGTTTTCCCACAGCAAAATGTAAAGACAATCAATTAGAATAAATCGAATAATGATCCAATATTCATTGCACTGCATTAGGGGAACTACCTTAAAGCATTATATCGAACAAAAACTTTTTGCAGTACATTATCTACTATTTTATGCAGTTTGGGTCATGTCTTACTTGATGTAATCAAATGGGCTGCTACACAATAAAGATACTGAAAACGTAGGATGTTTGCGTGTGTGTGTGTGTATGTGTGTGTGAGAGGCCAAAACAACAACGCAGAGCTCAAACACCAGATGGGCGAAGGAGGAGTCCCACTGAGTGCACACACAAACACACAAAGTGAGAGCCAGAAATCTCGACAAAGAACAAACATGCTCAAGCTTAAATGCCACTTGTCTTTCAGAGACAGTGCAGCTCTCTTTTTTCCACCAGCAGTAGGCCAGTTTCTCATCCACCTGCTGCTGTATGGTACAAGCACAACATGTTATCTGTTAATGTTGTTTTGGTAAAAAACAAAACAGTTGCTGAAGAGAAATGGCTTCAACTCTCTGTAGCTGTTATTCCCAAAGAGAAGAAGCCTATGTTTCAACACTAAGACAAAATACAGAAGAGAGTGTGCTGTATGTGATGTGTGACCAACAGGTACTCAGCTGTATCACACACGAGATAAAATGACAACTGATGAAGCTGATTTTGCCATTTCCAAGTTGTTATAATATGGTCTGAGCGCTGCAGAAGGTAGGATATTTGATCAGTTTATTCCCACTACAAGAGCTGCTTCAGCCAACTACCTCCCCTCTTGTTAGTTTGTGCTGCAGTCATGTCTGTCAGTTTGTTATGTCAACAGATATCTGTCAAAAATATAGCTGTGGATATTCATGGTCTCCTGTGGATCCTTCCTAATGACTTTAGTGACGTTTACGCATAAAAAATGGAAACAGTATTTGACATGAACTCTACTGAACACATTCATGCTCCCCACATGATGAACTCTTTCTAATTTGTACCACACTAAGGCCAAATACTAAATTCAGGCACAAGATGATGAAATATTTGTCTGCTAATCTAAAATGTGCAAAAAGAAACTCTATTTTCCCAACGGATCTACACAATTTGTTATTTATTTTTTTAGTTTTTCATTGATAAAACTGTCTTAATGGAAATTAGGACAAAAATATTCGTTGACAACCCATTTATCAGGACAAAAATGAAACAAAAGGTAACATTTGATAAAGAGAACTATGAAACAATGTTTTCCATTTTTTTGTCACTGAATAAAAAGAAAACAATAATGTGAAAGAGATGAAGTAACATAGTGTAACCTGCTGCATCTGTGGAATTAGACTGTATGTGCTGATCAGTAAAACCATTTCCTCCACCAGCCAAAATATTTCTTGTTCAGGAGTTAAATTAGCCGCTTCATGTGTTTCACTACCATCTCACATTCAGTAACATTCTGTCTCTGGCGTTAAAGCTTCCTGGACGAAACAGGTTTATGACTCATGTTCATCTACAGTCCAGAGACTTGTGCACACAACCCGCTGGGTCACGCCAGGAAGATGTAGCAGCACGACGTTGAAATGAGAGGATGATTTAATGTGAAACGCTGTAGATGTAGATGCAACAGTAACGTTCCTTTCAGTCAGATATCTTTTGTGTTGCTATCAGTCGGGTCCAGGATTAATATAGTCAACCATAAATCTCTATATGTTCTTTGCAGAGATCTCACTGTTTTAATGTTATCCGATGATTCAGCATCACCCCTGAATAAAATAATGTTTTCCACAAACCTCATGACAGATGTGAACACGTGTAACCGTGGTAATTGAACACAACCAGGATGAAGATATAGTCTACAGTAAATATTTAAAATGATGAAAACTAGGCAAAAATATATTACATTTTTTATAAAAATGAAATTAAACTCATGGTAAAATCAACACTGGTCATAATGTTGAGTAACAAGATACAGTTAATACAAATGAGAAGGACACAAGCTTTTCATTTCATTGTGTCACAAAAGTGTTTTCTGGAATTGTTTCTTGAAATCTGCACTTTGTGAAAACTGCAGGATCTGTCAAAAATTGAAAATTAAGTGTTGAATTAATACTAGTTTTATATGGTTCTGTTACACTATATATTCCCACCCTGAGTGTTATGTGAGTTTAAAGGGCAACCGTTGGAACAGCTTTCCTACCACTCAGACACAGACAATGTGTGGTGACAGGCGGAGGAGAAAAGCTCAGCAGTGAAAATGAATCAGTGTCGGTCTGGTGGCTGTGGAGCCCGATCTTTAAAGAGCTAAAGGCCAAAGCTAATAAGCACTTGACTAAGAGACGTGTCCAGTGACAGCAGAGTCAAAAAGAGCAGACACTCTGACCTTTCCTCATGAAGATTTGACTAGAGAAAAAGAGAACAGGATCAGAGGGAACCCACTCAAAGACCAAGAGGCGCTACAGATTTACTGTGTCCACCCACACTGATAGTAAAACTGAGACTAATATAATTGAGGTGAACTGATGACTCAAGGTCTCAGTACTTTTCGTCACAGCTGTCACTTTATATCAAAGAGATCTCCCTGTTTTTCTCTCCCCATGGTACCTGATCTACCCACGCTCTGAGAAGAGGAGAGGTTAATGGAGGTCAGGAGACACAGGATGAAACAAATCAGACACAGTAAGACAGTCCCCA